CACCATGACGGCCCCTATTTAATTTGGCAGGAATACTGGATGAAGTAACTGATTACTGAACAGTTTACTGTCACGATCTTTATGTTTACCTTCCCGGTTTTGTTTGGCGGGTAGGGGTTATGGTTTTAGTGTGTGTGTGTGTGTGTGTGTGTGTGTGTGTGTGTGTGTGTGTGTGTGTGTGTGTGTATGTGTGCGTGCGTGCGTGTGCGAATGTGTGTGTGTGTGTGTATGATGTGTGTGTGTGTGTGTGTGTGTGTGTGTGTGTGTGTGTGTGTGTGTGTGTGTGTATGATGTGTGTGTGTCTGTATGTGTATGTGCGTGTGGGGGGGGGTTGACCTGTGGTCAGCTACGTTCCAATAATTTGCGTCTTTTGTTTTCTGATAAAGCGATTAATTAATCTCTTTCCCTCCGCGTCAAATATAACTTTTTTTCAGTAGCACAATAAATGAAACCTTGATGCTATAAAAGAATAAAGCTGAGCCTTTTGACTTAGACAGACTAGAATTCTGATATCGTGTCATAGCTGCTGCTGTTTGCTCTCTTTGCATTGAGAGCAGAAACTTTGCAGAAATTATAATACCATGTCTCGGTCTTTGCTCTTTGCTCCCTATTCTAACAGTCCCTGGAATTGTAATAACATGCCGGGGATGCTGCTTTTTGCTCTTAAAAGAAAATGCCGCTGAAATAACATGGTTTCAGCGTTTCTTATTCGTGCCACAAATCCTCATAATGACGTGCTGCACACTGTTATTTCTGCTCTCCAACTGGGTCTGCCAGGAGCTAGGCTCTTCCATGTCGAAAGATTTGTTTTGAAGTCTTTCAGAGACATTTTCATGATGCCTTTGTGGCATTTTTGGTTTGCCATCTTTCTGCTTCCCTGAAAACATCTTAGAATAGAATACTGCTCTTGTAATTCGGACATTAAGCATTCTTACGACATGGCCAGCCCATCGAAGTTGGGTACCTTTTCAGCTCAGAAGAGAGACTCACGGCATTTGTCCTTTTGGAAACTTTCGTGTCTGGTAACTTTCCCTGTCATTTGATGCCCAAGAAATGTCCTGAGGCATCTCATGTGAAAAGGATAAAACTTCTTGTCATGGCTTTGGTATACTGTCTTGGACTCAGCATTGTAAACTTTTCTACTACCATCCACTCTGGTTGCTTACCATTGGCCTGCTACCGGTAACTTCAAAGTTGCGGCTGGGAATAATGTTTTGGATCTTCATCTGTTGCATATGACATACAACATAATGTTGCACACTGCTTCCGTGGAGAACAGCGAGAGCCACGGAGCGGTTCACTGAAATCATCTACCATGTGGCCGTTTGGGCTCAGTTAGCCTCATCCGCCATGGCCGCTAATACCAACGAGGTATGCGCCCCCTGTTGTCATTCCGGAACACCAGTCCAAGCA